TATCAATGTTAATAGACACTGTATAGCAATTCTTAAAAAAAAATTTACCATAACCTTTCTGCAAGCAGGAGATGATGTTCTAAACAAGAGAGGCTGCCTGCATTCTGCTGGCTGGACTGAAAATGGCAGTATCTGAGTAATTCTAGACATCTCCAAAAAGAATTTGTTCAGTCAGTACACAGTGGTTAAGCTCTGTAATTGCCTTGCTTGCACCATATTTCCTGTAATAGTAGTGTAAGAGAGTGCTTGTTTAAATCAAGTTAATTCTGTGCAATGTGGTCATTTTAAATGACTCAGAATAATTCAGAATTACTTTGTCAAGATACTCCGAGAAGGCTGTGAGCTTCATCCCATTGGGAGGCATCATTTCTGGACATCACAGAGTGTGAAGGGCAGCAGTAGTGCCACCTTTCATTTGGATGTCACCATTTGTGTTCTCCTGTACAGCACAGGCTTTGGACCAGCTCACCGTCTTTTCTGTTCTGCACAGAAGTGGGTTTTGCTCCAGTCCGTCTTGGTTCTCCAGGCTGCGGAGGACAGGCCTCTTGGTGAAAACTGGGGTTTTTTTCTAAACGTTTTTCTAGCGCAGAGCTGTTATTAAACTGTGTTGGAAGTTCTAATATCGTTCTGCTTGTCATTCATATTTTTATATTAATAATGATTAATAAATTTTTATGTGCTTTTGTATGCTCTTTGTAGCTATAGGCCATCATGATCAGGGGGAGTATAATTTTCTTCAGAGTTGACACTTTTTTGACAGGTCTAACAAAGCATTGGCCGAGTCCCTGGATAAAGCAAATGACCCAGTGGATCCAATTGTAAATACGCTGTTGCGGTCTATGGCCACTCACGCAATGTCTAATGCCTTGTACTTCTCAACCGGCTCTTGTCCCGAGGAAGAGTTTCATCATTATGGTATCTCATCACTTTATTTTTTTTTTATTCCTGTTATTATTTCTGAACTGTTGGAGGGAGGCAGTTGATTGATTGCTTCTCACCCCTTCCTTTTGTATTTGTAGGACTTGCCTTGGATAAGTACACTCATTTCACTTCTCCGATTAGAAGATATGCTGATATTGTTGTCCACAGACTCTTGATGGCAGCAACTCTGAAGAAAACAAAAGGAGATGTTAAGGATTATGCATTCAGTAATAAGGATCTTGAGGAATTGTGCAGACACATTAATAACAGAAACCGGGTAAGATGGTCATTGTGTGTGTCTCCCTATGTTTGTAGGCTGCCCAACGGAATGGGATACCATCCTGACTGCGGCTTTTGGGTACTACAACGACATAGTATCTCTTCATTTTTATTTATAATGCTTTGGGGTTTTTTTACTTAAATATCAGTTTTCTTCTGAGAGCGGTAGTAAAATGGACTTCACACTTCACCCATACTACACGTAGGATTTCCTTTTAGATGTAATTTTTCTAGGGACAGATAATGGGAAAACGAAACTCTGAAAAATCAAGGCCAAACAAGCTCACTGAAATATCTATTTAGGTTGTTTTGTCTTCTCTTTTTATGGGGGGTGCTTGCAGGCAGCCCAGCGTGCTCAGAAACAGTCTACCGAACTCTTCCAGTGCATGTACTTCAAAGACAAAACCCCAGAAACAGATGAGCGCTGCATAGCAGATGGTGTCATTTACTCAATTCGAACAAACGGTGTCCTTGTTTTTGTACCAAGGTGAGTTGATCAGAGGTTGGACTGAGCTTAAAAATAAGACTTAAGTGTTACTGGAACGCCATGAGGACACCTCTGGTCCTTGAGAAAGGAAGCGTTTACAGCGTGGCCTGGTGTTGACTGGTGACTGCGTTTTAGATTGTTGTTGTAAACCATAAGCAGTGCTGTTCTGTGAACTATGAAAAGGAGTTCCTATGAGGACGAGGTAAGACTGTGCTGGACAGTTTGTATTTATTTCAAAACATTAAAAGCAGCTGCTAGGGCAGAACAATGACTGGAATATTTTTTGCCTTTTTTTTAACCATAGAAAGTGATTAGTTACTTAAAGAAAGGGCAGTTTTAAATTTCCAAATCACAAAGCCATGCATTCCTCAGCGCTCTTTTCCTTCACTACAGACGGTAGCTTATGCAGGCTGGGATCAGCTTTTGCACAGCTCCTCCTAGGCAACAGGGAAGCGTAAAAGCAATGTTTACACAATGCTGTTTATAGCACCTGGGCTCTTGTCAGTGCCTGTATCTCAGCTCAGCCTTTGATTTATCCAGGTAGAAAGCAACTCTTTGCATGAAGCTAACTTTACATTTTAATTTCTGAACTTTCAAATCTACATTTTAAAGTATACTAAATGCATTCTGCTTATGTTATAAATTGACTAGTGAATGATGTAAGAAGGCGCTAGTCACCATAGAACTGGAGAGCAGCGCCTCTCATAAGCCTTGGCCAGCTCCTCAACCCTTCCTTTCCCTCACTGCCTCTGGACATTCTGGATTAGTCAATGATCTTCATGTTTGTGCATTACTGGTAGCAACACTGTCTGCCTGGCTAGCTGCCAGCTGCAAGAAATGTAGGCATAAGAACTCTCCTTTAAAAAAAAGAAAGAAACAAAACCCAAAGAACATTCTACAAGGATGTCAGGTAAAGCAAACCATTACATGAATACCCTGGACTTCCGTGAATACAGCCAGGGGCTGCTTGATCCCGAGACTGAGCTTGGATATAAACCAGCTCGACGTAGGCCTGATGGCATTCCAGAGGGCTTGCCTTGGATGCACGGCTGGACGGCCAGAACCTGCCCCCCCACAAAAGGCTCCTTCCAGACAACCCAGTACAAACACGCTGCTGGTCTTCAAGTAACTTTTTTTTAATGGAGAACTGTTTCCTCACCCTGCTTTCTGGAATAACCTGCAGTGCTGCTTTTCATCCATTATTGGGCCATTCCAGGCTCCGCCCAAGACATAAGATAATGGATCACTCACTGTATTTTACTTCTGCTTCGCTGCTTTTGAAACACTTAAGTTGCCATCTTCGTGCTGTTTTTGTGTACTCTCAGGGTTTCTTTGACCATGCACGTCAGTGTCCCTGAAGCAGGATTATCAGGCTACAGTCTTTGCCCCTTTATATTGCTTTTATATAATCCTAGCTAGCCTTCTGTTGGTCTCAAAATTAAGGGTGCAAATTGTTAGAACAGCTTCTGGCTGCTCATCTCCTTTTTTGTAGATATGGAATTAAAGGTGCTGCATATATGAAAAACAAAGAAGGCTTAGTCATCTCTTGTCAAGGTGATAGGAGCTGCGAGTGGAAACCTGGATCACTTCATCGCTTTCAGAATAAAATTACGTCCACTACAACTACTGGGGAATCGGTTACATTAAGCCTTTTTGATCATATTACAGTGAGTATTTAATCTGAAGGAAGTAAAAGGAAATGGTACCATCAGAAGTAAAATAACTTGCTTATTGCTTTTAAGGTGAAAATACTTGTGCAGACTTCCCGCTGCCACGCTGACACGATCAAGCTCGAAATAATCAGGAACGCACCATACCAGACTTCAGCCACAGAGGCTTCCCACAAGAATTTTCATGTGGTGAAATCTGACCTAGTCAAAGAAGTCAGTCAGTCCGCAGAAGCGGCCCAGCACGCCCAGGAAAAAGCAAGAGTTGAAGTAATTGATGAAGACTATCAGGAGTACTGCCAGAGCAAGGGGGCAAGCTTGTACCAGCTGCTGGAGGAGATCAGGGATTTGGCGCTATTGGATGTTTCAGCTGACATTAGAACTTGAACTATAACCCAGCAACAGCCGCTTGCTGATGTTCTGCTCCTATTCACTTTGTACGATTGGGGTTTTTTAAAAAAGCAGTCTATTTAAATACTCAAGAGTCCTTTTAATAAGAAACTAAATGTCTATTTTAAATAAGAATTATTTTTATCTGATTAGGAATGTGTATGAGTTTTTAAAAGATTTTATACATGATAAATCTCATCCTCCAGACTAAAGACAGCATGGTGAATTCTTTTAACTGTCATTCAAAAAGTTCATTTATGGACAAGGTGGGAAAGTAAGTTCTTAAAACCCAAATATTCCCTACAGCTGTTGGCTATCTTCCACTACAGTTCAGTGAGTTTAACTCATAGCGACAAGGATATAAAAAGCAAATTCCTTCGCACTTGGTTTATTGAAATCCCTCAGCTGCCCATCTGGCATAAAATAACGCCTGTTGACATGAACTTATTTCATCTGCTCTAAGTGCTGCTCTTCATTGTTTCTAGAAATTCAGTTTCTCTTACACACACCAGTCTACCCTGCGCCATTGGAGAGGGCAGGCTCAGGGCTTTACCAAACAAGGCTGGAGGAAGATGATGAAACAGAGCTCCCAGACAGAGAACAGACTCAGCCGAAGGAGGGTAACTAACCTGGTCAAAGCCAAGGCCTGCTCCCCAAGGGGATGTCCGTGTCTGAAGAGGTGTCTGCCTAGCACAAGGGCTGTGGAGGGTTGGAGGGGCTGTAGTTCAACAGCCTCATACAAGAATTTCAGGTTTGACTTCTGAAAATTTAATAGCTTCCATTTTATAAGAACAAGATACAGGTACTTAGTAAGCAAGTTAAAAAAAATCCAGCACACCTGTTCAGACATAGCACTACCCACTATTATAGATACCCTCTATTAAAAAAACCCAGAACAACAACTTTAATAGAAACTTCACCTGTCAATAGCCCAGTTAGCTCCGTTTGACATCAATTGTAAACAAAATGGAAAGTAGGTTGAAAAACTCATTAACATTGCCTAGAGAGTGTTGGGGGAGGTGGAAAAGAGGTCTCAGCTGCAGATGAAGAACTCTGTTCTGTTCTCCGGTGTACGGAGCTGCTCATCTGCAGCTTCAAGGGAGGAGTTCTGTCCAGCTGTACAGGTGTCACGGTGAAGACTGCCATGAAGCCTCTGGAGCCAGAGTGGCAAAGAGCCAGCAACATTTCAATAGAATGATAGTACGTAACAGAAGCCCCCGATGTTTTAAGAAAGTCATTCGAAGCATGGGGAACGGTTACTGCTTTTCACCGGCACATTCCAATTCTGTATCTCCATCTTCAGCTTCTGTGACAGCAGCCTGGGTTGCGGTAGCTTGAGCGTCTTTGATAAGGTCAGTGGGATCCTGAGCAACTGTGGTATTAAACTCCTCTTCCGAGTAAGTAGCAGAGAGTTCTGTTGGAAAATAAAACCAAAATCAGTTTCCTACCATGAGAAAACACTGTTGCTGTGTGTTTAACTGCTGTTTCTATCACCAGAATCGCAGTCTGGAGGAAAGCCAACTCCAGAGATGGCCAGCGAGTTTCATACCATCGGGCAAAGCTATCACAACTTGGTGTGGCAACTAGGGAGAGCAGTTCTGACTTCGCTTCGGAGGAGTCTAACTACAGGAGCACAGCTGAAATTTCAGAGTTGCACATTTTGCTACTTACTAGAAAAGCAATCGCTACCATTTCCTTTAACCGACTCAGCAGCTCAGCTGTACAAGCTTCTCAGGCTACTGACCTCAACAGTAACCCTTCAGGTAGGGCTGCTTACCGTTGCGTTGCACCTGGCTGTCACCCTGCATCTTGGCTTGCCTCCGTTCCAAGGCCAGCTGCCTGTTCTTCTTGATTCGCTGTTGTTGCTCTTCCGTGAGAGTTGTACCAGACAGAGAACCGAGTTGTTCTACGTTTCCAGAGGAGGAATGCGCATCTTCGGTGGCTGTATCCAGTCCATTGATTTCCCCTCCACCGTCTGGTAAAAATGAAGGGGTGAAAGGGGGAAGAGGGTAGAAATCAACACTTTGAACCCAGAGGTATCTACTGCTAAATATCTGTCATGAGAACATTTTAAAAGCGTTTCTATGTTCTACATTTTACAGTTGTGTTGACAGCTGAAGATCATTCTGTAATTTAGTTTTAATGGGCAATTTTCTGCCTAGGCCCACATACCTGATATGCAAAGTATACAACAAATGCTAATCAGACATCCCAAACCACAACAATAACAAATACCTGAACTTCGAGGCACAGCTCTGTGTATAAGTTAGCAATCACGAGCTGAGCTTGACAGTTAAAAACAGACAGTAAATTCAGGCAATCCTTACTGAAAGGCCAGATAATTTTCTTCCCACCCCTACGAATACGACACCGTCCTTTGGGAAGTGGCAGGACTAGTTATGGGAATCAGCCAGAGGGTCGAACACAGCCATTGAGCAGCCAGTTTTGACTTCAGTGTGCTGCTACTATGGAATATTTACTCCTTTGCCAACATTAACACATGCAAAATGCAGGCAGTCCAACTCTGTTAGACAAACTTCACCCACCACCAGAGAAGCAGAGCACTCTTTCAAGAGTGCCTAAGGCCAAGTATGCTTGTGCCTCTGCACCACTTTAAGCCTGTGAACAGAGAAGTTAGCTGACAAAAAGGTTTTCATTTTTAATACAATACTCTAGCTGCAGTTTTTATTTCAAAACTGTAAGATACCTACGCATTTTTCAACCAAAGACTGACCATTTTTAGCAGGACACTCACTAACACGGTTCAAGAACAGATCAGCACCGCATTTAAATACAAATGTATGGAACCATCGCACAGAAAATCTGATAGCTCTGCAGACCCTGTCGGCAGGAACCATTTGCTTTACTGTTTGTGGCTGCTTACGGTTGCATTCCACTTCTAGCAAATGCAGCCAACAGCAAAGACAGCCACAGGTCACCAGCTGCCCAAAGGTCATCCCCACCGGTGAGGCAAGGCTTTACCATCGGTTACCTCACCCACCAGAACACCCTCCCCAAGCTCTGCCTTGGCTGGAGGCTGGGGCTCACGTGAAGACAAACTGGACAACGGGTAGGGAATTGTTTCAGGAGAGACTCACAGTGAAAGTGTGAACACCTGCAGAGGACCTTAGGAACGACTATGAGATTCTCTCATTTCTGCTAATAAAGCTTCTTTCAAACTACCAGGTGAACTCCACTCCCTCTTTTTATTAAAAAAAAAAAATCCTTTCTAATCTATCTAAAAACATCATCTGATGGGAAGAGACTCTTGAATTACCAACTTGTTAAGTGGCTGGATTTTGATATTGGAAGAAGAAATACTCAATAGCAGCTATCCGCCAAGACTGACAAACAGACCTAACAGCGCCCAGGAGCATGAGTGAGTACTTTCCCTCTAAAGGACACTACACCCCGAGTGCGCTGTAGCAGCTTGCAGTATGAACAGTGTAATGAGTCTTTGATTTCTGCATTAGTAAGTTCAAGAGCTCTTCAGACTGCCTGCTCCTAAGAGTACAATACAAGCCAGGATGTTCACTTAATAATTGCAGTTTGGGCGTTTTTTTGCAAGAACATTTCTAACAATGCTGGTAATAATACCCATTTTCCATTTCCTTTCAGCATACCGCACGCTTTTATTTATTTTTTTATATATATGTAGCAGTTTACTCTGAGTACCAGTTCAGTTTTGTAATCGCAAGTCTCACAGAAGCTTGGTTTTAAAACAGAGGACCACTCAACAATTTCTTCTACATTAGAAAAAAAATGTATCATGATCATTAATTTCTGGCCAGTAGGAGGGGAAGTAAAGTAATTTTAAGCATTGAACTACTGAACAAACAGCATGATGAGCATACCTTCATTACTTGCAAAGTCTTCATGTAAAATAGGAAGATCAAGTCTAATCCGCTTTAGGCAGGTCTGCAAATGATAGATTAAAATACAAATATTTCATCTGTAACAAAATCTTTTCTGCAACATTGCTATGTTTTTAATACTCCTCCCAATTTCTCTATACACTTTATTACTCTGAAAAAAAATATTCCTTTCACTACATGTCTGTTTGACCCACAACTTTTAACGCTGTGGATCGTTTTCCTAGTCCTTCATCTATCACCTAGCCAGATGAAGCAGCATTTTTCCTAAGTCTTCTTTTGCAGGTTCAAACATTAGAAAAAACAAACAAAACCTGAAAAACCAACCAGTTCCAGCACTTTTAAGCAAATTACTTTGGTTAAAGATGTCCTGAAAAAGTTGAAGCCAATCCTCTAAAGTACTAATTCAAATAAAGAAATTTTATATCTAAATGTAAACTTAAATACTTCAAATACTGGAAAGAGGGTTTTTTTAAAAAAAAAAAAAAAGAGAGAAGTTAATTTAAATAATATTATACTCCTTAGCAGTACGCACAGCTTCAGTAGTCTTTGGTTGCATAATTGCTCTCCTAAACCTACCTCTTGCACTATTCAGTACTGCATGCAAAGAAACCGACAAGAACACCACGTACCTGAACTTCCTTTTTGTTTCCCAAAGACTCTACTCTGTCAATAAAATCCTCAAATTGCAGTTTTGGAAATAGTCTATGAGCCCAGTGCTCCATGTGTCGTATGAGCGTCTTCAGGTCTTCTGCCTAGAGCACAGAACAAGAGATCCAGCTAGTAAAAGTTGACTAAGTCAATAGACTGCAGAGGGAAACAGCACAGTAACATTTCTGAAAATATTAAGCATCTGCAGCTTGAAAGTCTCTTGAAAATTTAAGTAATCTGAATGCGTGGGTCGCCTTTCCTCCCACAATCAAGTCTGTAAGTGCAATTTCAAGCTATCAGAAGAACAGCGATCAGAGTTCAGGAAAAGCATTTGCATATGCTGTAAAACATCTGACAGGCGTCTGAGAAGTTGCCCTTAAACAATCTCGGTCTGAACCCAGACTGAAAAACCAGAAATCCATAGGGGCACAGCTGGCATTTATTTTTATGTTTAGAACACACAGAAAAATGTACACCTAAATAACCTTGTCTAGTAAAGATTTTTACTCAGATCAGCAGTATTGCCGAGTTCTTCAGTTACAACTGCCTCCAGTTGTAAAGAGAAAATCTAATCTTCAGTATTCTCTGTAAAGCAGAGGTGCACAGGCATCCTTGCAAGCGTGCCAACAGGCTAATGATACTAAAGAAAAATGAGCTTTGTATGTTTGAGTGTATCCAAGACAATGAGACAGTCTGTAGAGAAAATACTGCTTTCTCTCTGCTTAAGTGGTACGCCACACTTTTCTTCGATATTAAAAGCTTCGGGATAGAGGTGTCACAAAAGCCAGAAGATTTTCACTAACAGAGGAAACTGATCATGAAATGAGATGGTAAAGGCATTCCAGATGCAGCAGGCAGTCTTATAAGCCAAGTTAAAAAAACCCTTTCTATGGACAATAGAGAGAGTCACACACGTGATATTCTAGTTTTGAAGTAGAGGAAAACAGTTTTAAGATCAAAACATGGGTTTTGTTAAAACATTCATATTTGTTTGTTTTTAAATTTGCAACCACAAACCCCATCAGGGTACGTTCAAATACTGTTAGAAAGCTGGCTAACCGGAGCGTACTATCAATTCTCCCCATATCAGATGGGCAGCAATCAGTAACCCCCCAGGAAACAAAACAAAAGCTCACTATGTCTTACCTCGTGCCCCTTACCCTTGAACTTCACGTTGTCAAACATGTGTCTCAGGGCTGGAAGTCCTCTTTGTGAGGTTAACCTGTTAATAGGAAATGGGTGAAGTTATTTGAAACCCATACTTTTTCTAATTAAAAAGAAAAACCCAACAAAACAAAACACCCCAGAAACCACCTCACGTTCCTTTAAATGGCCTAAAGCTACAGAGCTCTATTTGAAAGAGGTACAGAATTAGAAGTCGCTAAGAAAACACACAAAATAGCATAAAGACTCTGTAAGACCAAAGACTTATTTGGAAAATTCACCATACATATATTCCTAGTCCAAGGAGCTTTTTTATTCTGATTACGTGGAAAGTCAGTACTTGTATCTCTATTGGCCCAGTAAAACCAGTTAGACGCATGACCAGAGCATCCGCCTGCGGCATCACTAACTTCCTCAGTGTATTTAAAACAGAAGAAACTGAAAGCTCAGATTCTTTCCATTGCTTATAAAGAACTTAAAGCAGTTCTAGTGATAACAGCAAAGAAAATATTAAAATCCTTTATCTTTATACAGAGTTTTTCCAGCTTGTATGTAAGTCAGGTGTAAGTGTACTTTAAGTAGTACCTTACAGTCACCCTTATATTGAGGTTTTATTTTTAAGCACGCTTTTATTAAAGAAAGAAATCTATAGTATTACGTCTGCAGCAAAATAAAAAAGATTCAGCTGGAAGAGTCCTATATATGAATAATAAATATATCTTAAATTATTAGTCATGTACTGTGTCCCAAAGAGACTTCAAGAAAGTTAGACTAGTAACAGCAGTACACAGGTAAGCAAGGAATAAAAAGGCTGAGATACAGCATGCGAGAGGCACTTTCATCCCCAGAACTCTTGATCTTTGACTTGGCTATGACCAAGAAGGGATCACAGGAACCTTAAATCGTTCCCCCCCAGCCATGTATCAAATCCATCACAGCGAGAAATATTCTGTAAAAAGTTACCTCTGGGCATCTAGTTTAGGCATTGGTCTTTTAACTGCTTTCCGTGTAGGTACAGCAGAATCTTTTGCTTGTGACTGCTGGTTTCCATCTGGTTCCAACAAAGAAAATAACAGACTTTAAGGATATAATGCAACTGACATCAACTAGAATTGCATCGTGTAAATTTTAAGTTTCTACCCCATCAAAAAGGCAGCATCACAAGTATTCCATTGCAGGTATAGTACTACAAACCAACGTCTGCATATTTCATCTAACTTCTACCACAAGACAGATTGTAAATAAATCCATCTCTTCAAACTATGCTGAGGAATCAACTTTTCTAGCAAAGTAGGTTCCTTGAAAGGGAAGCTTCCCAATTTTAGAACTTTGATATTGTATTTCTGATGAGAAATGTATTGAGAGTAGATGCTGCTTCTGAAAGTTAAGAAACTCAAACTATCAATAAACATTATTTGATAGGCGTGTCCCAAAATTTCCACTGATAGATCTGAAAGACAGACCTAAGCCACCAGCATCGCCTTCAAAAAACAGAGAAAGAGGTGATGTGTGACCACAATCAACACGTCTTTTAAGACCCAAAGTCCATATACTTTTTGATCAGGGCCAGTATATATTATTTGACTGCAACAGACAAGGCACCACTGCCCATCACATCTCAGAGGTAACAGTTAATCATACTGATTTCTTGGCTTACTTTTTGTTACTTTGAACATCAGGAATTCAGTAGTTCTCCTTTACACATATCAAGGAATTAAATCTACCCAAAATCCTATTTTCTAGTGAACAGACAAAACAGGGATCAAGGAAAACGTACATTTAACACCATAGGCAAATATGGGTAGCAGTAAACAATAGTTAAAAAAAAATCTTTATACTTTCTAATAGCTTGTTCAGTACACAGTAAGATCTTTTCAAATACAAATAATTAAGTTCTACTGTCTTGAAGTGTCTTGGATTTTTCCTAGGCCATATGCTCTACAAAATCTTCCACCATCTCCCTGGAAGACTACATTCAACACTCTTACCTCTTCTGAAATCCAAGTCATAAAGGGTAACTATAGATCACCGCTGTATAATTATCTTTAGCAACATTTTGTCAGAAGAGCTTGAATTTTATAAAGATTCATTTGTGTGCGTATTTTCATGGAATCTACAAAAATAAACTTCTCCCACAAGCTCGGAAGCACAGAATCAATAACAATTTAAATTTACGAATTGCTTTCTTATCCACACTACTTTTATGCAGTGAAGTTCAACACCAATAATATTGATTTCACAGCGTTTCATTGTCTATACCACAAAATAGGATCTTTCGGGGTCACAGTTGCTCACCTCCATTAGCTTGAGCCCATTCAACATCATCTCTTCCTGGAGAGGCAGGAGGTGGAAGAGGTGGGAACGTTTCATCTTCTGTATTCTCATAATCAGGAAGATCAAACAAGTTGTTCTCTAAAGGATCTATCATTGCCACAGATAAACTTTTTTTCCCTCCTGCAGGAAATATCAAATGCATTTAAAGAGAAGCAGCGAGAAGAAAAGGCAGCTAAACATCAGTTATATACAACAGGTCTACAGCTTTTCCAGAAAAAGATTTGCCAACCAGAAAAAAAAGCATCATACAAATGAAGCAACAGATACCATACAGATGGATGACACAATCCAGCCTCACTAGGCCAAATAAACTACGGGTTTGTCATGTTCCAACTCAAAGTTACTTGGGCGCGGCAGGTACGGGGCCGTAGGAATAAAACAAAAGAAACGGCTTTCTAAGCAAAGCGCTTCTCAAGACAGCTGTTTGCCACTCACAGCCTCGATTATCAAAGACTACGGGGGGGTTGAGTGATAATTCCTCTGATTTACAGCTTACCCACTCCGAAACGCGGGCTGGAGGAGGATTCCCCTTTTCCAGCTCCTTAAGCAAAGCTAATTCCAGAGACCTTAGCACCTCAGCACAACCGGGGTTAGGGTGACCCGGTCTCACCGCGGCTGCGTTCCCGAGGCTTCAGGAACAGCTCTTTTTTTTAAGGGAAAGCTGTCCCTCAGTTTTGGTAACGAGGGGACACCCCAGGCAGCCCCGTCTCCACTGACCTTCGACGGGAGATCCCTGCCTCCGGGCTGCGAAACCCTCACGGAGCCGGAGGCTGAGGGAGTCGAGCGAGGGCAGTGAAGGAGCTCGCTAGGGTCCTCCAGGGCCAGACCCCCAGAGCCACAACCTGCCGGGCGCCACGGAGGCCCCGCTCCCCTCGCACCGCCAGAGCAGCCCCGAGGCGCGCAGGCACCGAGGGGGAGCTCTCCCCCTCACACCGGCGGGAAGGAGGGGCCAAGAGGGCTTCCCGCCTGCCTTCTCAGGGCAAACAGCTCC